TGTAACTTTAAAAACTATCCTGTGCCTCACGTTTGTGTTTTGTTCAGGCCTCAATGACTGAATGTTTAAAGCTCCACCAGAACTATCATTAGAATCACCATCAACTACATTAAACTACAGCCAAACTACTCTCTTAAGTCTTCAGAGATCAATATTTATAGGAAACTGCAGCCTGTCTGTGACTGATTATTGTGAGACACAGCTGTCTGTGATTGTGTGATAAACATGTGCTCTTTTTTCAGTCCACCTCGATTTGATGTGGACATGAACATGTTTGTGAACCCTCTGTGGACCTGTTCCTGGGTCTTTCTATCATAGAACTGGGACCCATCACCTGAGGCTCTCTCAGTGGAAGGACAACTAGTAGAACCCAGCGAGTTGCTCAACACAGCAGGTAAACCAGTAGTGACAATATTAGTAACCAAAATAACATTATAGAATACAGACAAGTTAAAATCCACTCGTACAGTGTAAGTCAGTGAATAAAAGTGTGTTTTTAAACATGACTTGAAAATGGTTGGAGAGGGAGCCTGACATGCAGTGGTAACTCGTTCTAGAGTTTAGGACCTGCAGCAGAGAAAGCCTGTCACTAGAGTTGCATTCAGGCCTAAAAGATCAGACCCAGCCAGGCCCGAGCCCATAGGAATTGTGTCCGAGCCCAATCCGACCCGAATAATTAACTCTAGAGGCCCGAACCCGAAGCAAACCTGATGTTATTTTTATTAAGCTTTTACTGCTTTTGTAAGCAAATCAGTTAGACGTGATAGTTTAAAAAACCTATTTCAAAGAAAGGAAGATATAAGATTTATTGTTTATTAACAAGTCACCAAATGGATATAAACATACAATATAAATACTCTACGATTATACATTACAGGCCGTAGACTGAGGAAGTCCTCTGGATGGGGGACGAAATGTTTCTCACTTAAAGAAACTGGTCCAGATGACATGATTTAACTATTTTTGATGAGGCTGTTATACAGATGAACAAAAATATTTTTAGAGCAAAATTATTTGGAAAAATGCCGAACAAGGTTGTTTTATTTTAGACCTAAAAGAAAGTTGTGCAAAATTAACCTGAGTCATGAACTGCTGCGCTCTATTGTCTGTTTTCCTCATCCTCAACATATAAACTTACTGTCTCCTCCTCTACAAGTAGATTAACACAATTTTATATCACACATTCTCATTTAGTTTTCGTTGTGCTGTATGGTTTGTAAAACCACAAGAAGCCCAAGCCTGCCCCGCCCCGCCCCGCCCATCAAGCACTCAACTTTAGCCCGACTCTGTCCAAATTTCGGGCCATAAATCATTCTCTATTTGTCACCTCTGAGCTTTAAACGAGTGCCTGGAACCAGTAAAAGCTTCTGGCCTGCTGAACTAAGGGAGTGCTGTGGGACATATGGCTGCAGCAGATCATAGGAGCGCATAAGAAAACAAGAACAATAAAGTTAATAAAATTAATTAAACTTAATCTGTTGATTTTCTCTGGTTCAGATGAGTGCAATTACAATGTGGATTCAACGAGCAGAACTTCAGCTCAACGATGAACCCAGGGGAGAGACAGATGTCCTCTACATCCACACCTACAACCCCCGTAAACACAGGAGGGTGGATGAGGAGGTGATGGAGCTCCTGACAGTCTGAGGAGTCAACCAGCAGGAGCCTGAGGAGACACTGGAGCAACTGAAGTCTGTCCAACAGGGTTTTAAGGCTTCAATGACACAGATGCTCAGTAAAGTTTAATTTTTACATGAAATGGTGTTTTTGCACATTTACACAACTTTTCATGTTTGAAGAGCTGATGAACTCAAGCACCAGTTCTTGAGCTTTTGTTTTTTAAACTCTTAACTTTTCATGTTAATTTGTTCATATAACAATGTTCACCCTGAAGTTTTCACATATTTGGTAACTGATTATTTTTACTTCGTTAATAAAATGTTATTTGAATACTAATGTCTGAGCCGTTATTATTAACCACGAGCTGTGAGCAATAGATGAATCAAAGAAAATGAAACAGTAAATTATGAGAAACTCTTAATGATACACAAGTATTCTCACAGAGAATAACTCAACACTTTATGCACTGCTAATTTACCAAAAAGTTTCTTGCAAAGGTCCCAAGAAAATGACATTCATAATTACATCAGATGTGCTCAGAACCAGGTCTGCAGCACAAAAAGACCATTTCATCTCCCACACCGTGCAGCTCTGGCTGTTCCTGCACATTTCTGAAGCGTAAATGATGCAGAAAGCTGCTGCAGCATCGATCCTGGGGTCCAGCAGACCATGAAGACGTCTCCACCTGAACTTCAGTTGTCTGAAGGTTTGCTCACCTCCACCTAGTTCCAGTCTTCAAGATCCCAAGTTAAAAAAGGTGTGCAAAAGTAAAAAATAAAGTATGTAAATATGAGGCCGCATTCCATCATCAATCTACTATTTACCACTACTATTTTATTTATGCAGCACTTTAAAATAACCACAGCTGCAACAAAGTGCTGCACATGTAAAATTAAGAACATTTAAACACAAAATGAAGAATAAAAAGTGTTAAAACAGTAAGACCAATAAAAACAGTAGTAAAAATAAATCAGAGCAAGTCTCAAGATGTGTCAAAAACCAGAGAATAAAAATGTGTATTTAAAATAATATGATATATATAGTATCGTAACAAGGCTATTTTGAAGTGAGGTTTAGTAAGATATTAATGAATAGTTAATATCTTACCTGTTGTTGATGCTGTATCTCTCAGTTTGGAGAAAAATAATTTGAAAAATATTTCCAGCTTTACTTTGGGCCTTTTTTAAAACAAGTTTTTCTGAGGCTAAAAGCAACAAACTGTTTTTTAATTTATTTTTTGTCTTTGGTTCTTTTTTTTTTTTTTAGCTTATAAGTTTTGTCAAAACTAAGGTTGATTAAAAAGCTGTCTGCAACAGGTAAAACATTAATTGTTCATAACTTTTCCCCAGAACCCCACTTCAACATATCTTGTCCACAAATCCAAGGACAGCATAATGTTCAGTAACTAACCAGAAAAAAACAGATCCTTCATTCGAAGATTTAAACATTTTCATAGTTTCCATAACGGACCAAATTATGTTTTTATAATTTTTTATCTTAACTGTGCCAGCTGAAATATTTAGAGCCAGTAATTTAATTTCTTGAAGTTTGTACTGAATCTACACAAATATTTAATAATAAAATGTAAAGTAACACAGTGATAACTCTAAAAAAAAAAAACAGATTAAATCTGCTGAACAAACTGAAATCGAGTTGTTAAAACTCAGAAGCTAATTGTAGGAAAAGAATGGCTCGAAATAGTCAAAGGTTAGCGAAAAGTAGCATATTGCTAGCTAAAAGCAGCAAAAATTTAGCTAATAGTAGAAAATGGTTATAGCTAGAAGCTAAATGTAGCAAAAGACTAGCTAAAACTAGTGAAAAGCTACATAAAACTAGAATATTGGCTGAAAGCAGCAAAAAGTTAGCTAAAAGTAGAAGGCTGGTCAAAAGTTAAACGCAACAAAAAGCTTTATAAAAGCTAACAGTACAACAGCTAAAAGCTAAAAGCAGCATAAGAAGGCAGAAAAAGAGCCTGCAGCTAAAGAGCAGAACAATGTTTTTGAAAGAAATGGAGTTCTTGATGGATTTCTACAGTATAAATACTTGTAATAAAGTTCAATATTTCAAACAATTTTAAAAGTTAAAGCCCCAAAGTCACAGCAGTCATCTCCTAAATAAGCTGAAAGAGCTAAACAAAGTTGATGACGTAGTTAGATTATAAAACACGTCCAAGAAAGTAGAGCAGGTGTCTCACAGAGGCCCATCTTAAGGACAGTCCACCTTTTTTAATATTTATATATATATATATATATATATATATATATATATATATAATTACTTAATTAATTAATTAATTTATGAAGAACAACAATTTACAAACAAACCAAATTAAACAATGTAATACAAAGTAACTATTAAATTTCACAGGTTGAGATGAATACATTCAAAAAATATAAAATAATACAAACAATTTACGTAACAAGGAACAAGTTTACATCAAATCAAAGTTATTCATCAAAGTATAAGTTTGTTGAGCAGATTTACTTTTAACCAAATTAAGACTCACAAAAACATTTCAGGTAGTTTTCCCAATGACATAAATTTGGATTCACCTAAAAAAAAAAAAAATCTACATTTATGAACAAAAAAACTTTTCTAGTACTATTAGGTTATTAAAAATTATATTTTAGAGTTTTGAAAATAAATACCAAATTTTATAATTGTTAAAGTCAGAGCTGGTAGTTCAATTCCCTGGGTCTGAAGCCAACCCCACATACTGCTCCAAGTCTTCAGTGACACTACAGAGGAAGAAGAGGATCTAGTCAGGTCATCTGGACCAACTCTCTTTTCTTTTTTATATTTTCGTCAGAGTCGACAGGGGAGAGAGCGGGCTCAGAAACCATCTTATCACCAGCAAACTGGTTGGTCCACTATGAGTGTGCTGCTTGTGGGACTGAGTTTATTGTAGCTCCTCGGACTGATGAAATCCTTTGGATGAAAGAAACGTCTCAACAAAAACAGAAACCATCCAGATGACCTGACTGAACTTTGTTGGATTTTTTACCTGGATTACTGAGCATGAACTTTGACCTCCTCTGCATTATCACAGCATGTGCACCCAGCTGTCAAATTTAAATCTAGTTCTGATAAAAGCATAGTGGGGCGGATGTCGTTTAGAATTTTAAAATGGACTTCCTTAACTTTTGGAGGAAGTGAAAAATAAATATATTTTGTCCTACTTTTAGAAATGATATCCATTCTAAAATCCTTAAAAATATAATGCCGTTCTAACCAGAACACAACTTCTTCTGTAAAAATCCTCATAAGGACAGTCCACCTGCAAGACAGAGGCATCATGGGACTGCCGTCACGTGACCAGGCTGCCACGGATTGGTTTAGGTCAGCTGTGACGTCAGAGCCCCGCCTTCTCATTTGTCCCCCTCAGCACCACCCAGCCCTCTCCCTGACAGATGGTTAATGGTTCCGTTAGGCGGTCTGGGGTCCATTCAGCCCATTGAAGACCCACCCCCCACCTTCGGAGCTGCAGCAGCCTCCTCTGGTTCCTCCTTCCTCGGACTCCTCCGCTGCTCCTGCCGCCTCCGACCTCAGCCCTGCGGCTGCGGGTAAGGTGGGCCTGAGTGGTGGTGGTGGTGCTGGGGGGTGGAGTGCAGGAGCTCCACACCGTGCTTCGCAGGACATCTGTGCAGATGAGCTATGTCCTGCATCTTCTGACCGGCCGGAAGTCTTCTTTTCTGGATGTTCCTGCGCTGCAGAGGGCCACGTAGGATGAGAATCTGCAGCCATGATGCAAGGTAACGGATCAGGACTCCTCTGAGTCCTGCTGGGCCCATTACAGCTAGTCAATCCTAGGATGTGATCTGTCAGGCTGTGGGGAGCAAATGAAGTGCGCGCGCGCGTGTATGTGCGTGACATTGAGTGTAACAGATTTATAGAAGGACAATGATGGCGGCTGTGTGTTGTGGTGTTTACATGAGCTCACATCAGAGCTGAACATCTGACCCAGATGCTGCCATCAGAATCAGAACGCATGGACAGAGTGACGTCAATAAATCAAAGATTATCCCGGGCCTCCCTTTGATAAGAGATCAAATAAAGGTTAATAATAATAAAACATATTAATACAAATCATGGATTTTGTTCTGCTTGGCATGTGCAGGGTCCATGGACATTCCTGCCATTTTGGATTCTGTGTAAAATATATGAACTGTTAATATCTTACCTGTTGTAGATAACTATTTCAATGGGTTCAGATATTTGATGAGCTAACAGCTAGTCCTAGCAGGACCAAGACAAAATGTTTTGCAGCATTTCATGTAAATGCTGTGTTATAAACTTTGCTGTCAGTTTCACATTATATGGTTATTTATGTGGGTCTAATTATGGATCTGTGCATCCCCACCAAGACGACAACAACAGGGGCTGCATCAGAGGTAAAAGAGATGGTACCCTTGTGAAATGAAGGAGAAGAGGACAGCGTGTTGTGCTACCTACATTGTGAGATGGCTGTGCAACAGCATGGATGAAACTGATCCGTTACTGCAGTCCAGTGAAGTCTTCTGAGGAGTTCTGGCCTGTTCTTAGTGACACGTGGCTACATGATGGAATCAACTGCACGATGGAGGAGCTGCAAGATAATCAGCTGATCAGGTCAGATCAGGGCACGGAGCGTGTAGCAACACTAGAGGAGGAGGGCTGTGTTTGTACATCAACATGAGCCGGTGTAACCATGTAAGATAAGAAGTTAGAACTTCATTGATCCCGCAGGAAATTGTGAAACAGCATCGCAAAACATTGTTCAAAGTAACTAGAATCTGTTATGGCTTTTTGCAGACCCTTCTACACTTGGAGAGAATTCTCTTCAGTTGTTTTAACAGGAGTTTACCTCCCAGCCCAACCACACTCTATTAGTTATGGGTGATTTTAACAACTGCTGCCTAACACAGGAAGTAGCTGAATACAAACAGCTGGTTAACTGTGTCACTCGTGATGGGAAAATGCTGGACTGCTTCTACTCCAATATACAAAAGTTCTCTCTGTGCATGCGTGGGTTTTCTCCCAGGTACTCCAGTTTCCTCCCACAGACCAAAACTATGCATGTTAGGTTGATTGGTAACTCTAAATTGTCTCTAGGTGTGAGTGAGAGAGTGAATGTTTGTTTGTCTCTATATGTCCCAGTGATGGACTGGAAACATGTCCAGGGTGTCCCCTGCCCCTCACACTGTGATTGCTGTATATGGACACCGGTGACCCCTGTGACCCAAAATGGAAGTAACGGGTAAAAGATAATGGATGGATGATAAATGGTAAATGGACTGTACTTATATAGCGCCTTTCTATCTTATTTCAAGATACTCAAAGCTCTTTACAACAATCTGTGTCCTCATTTACCCGTTCATACAGCACTCTACTAGATCTCTACAAAGCTAATTGAACAAATCATTCTAAATAGACTAATCGGTGCTTTATCACATTCATACACTGATGGGACACACATCAGAGCTTATGAGGGGTTCAGTGTCTTGCCCAGGAACACTTCAATATGTGACTGCTGGTGGATTCGAACCCCCAACTCTCGCATTGGAGGACGACTGCTCTAACCACTCAGCCACAGCCGCCCCAATGGATGGATGGATAAACTCTGAATGCCAGAAAATGCCTTGTAACCGCTACCTTCCTACCGGCCATTGCCTATGGTGACATTATTTACATGAATGCCCCTGCCAGCTCCTTGCAGATGTTGGATGCTGTTACCATGGTGCACTGAGATTCATACTGGTTGTAACTACCGTACCCATCACTGCACCCTGTACTCCTTGATCAATTGGTCATCATTGTCTACTCATAGGCTCTCACACTGGTTCATGTTCATCTCTAAATCCCTCCTTGGTCTACCTTCTTATATCTCCTCCCACGTGTCACGTCATCAGTGCAGTTACAACGTGCGCTCTCAGGCCATCATTACCCGCAACGTTCCCTCATTGCAGACTGAACTTGACAAAAGGCCTTTTCCTATTCAGCTCCTGCAACCTGGAACACCTTGCAACAAGAACTGAAGTTGTCCTCTTTGATTTCTTTAAGGGGCTTTAAACATTTGATAATGTCAATAGAAAAATCAAAGCAAATATGTTCTTGTTTTTAGGATTTCACCCTGTTTTATGACACCCTGATTTATTGTTTTGTATACTACTCTTGTTTTTACTGCATTTGCACTGTAGTTTATTGTTGTCATTGTTTACTGTTGTCTGTACTTTATATGTTCTGTGTGGAACAGGTCTCTCGTCAATGAGTCATCGTGGCTCAATGAGGCTAGCCTGTATAACTAAAGGTTGAATGAATGAATGAGTAGTTCTGTTAGCAGTGGGGTTTTGTTAGCAGTGGGGTTCTGTTAACTACATGGTCCTCTTAGCAGCATAGTCCTGTTAGCAGCATGGTACTATTAGCAATGTAGTTCTGTTAAAAGCGCAGTCCTGTGCAATGCGAGCCTGTTAGCAATGCAGTTCTGTTAGCAGTGTAGTCTTGTTTGCAGAGTGGTTCTGTTAGCAGTGAGTTTCTCTTAGCAGTATGGTCCTGTTAACAAAGTGGTCCTGATAGCAGTGAGGTTCTGTTAGCAGCACGGTGCTGTTAGCAGAGTGGTTCTGTTAGCAGTGAGGTTCTGTTAGCACTATGGTCCTGTTAGCAGAGTGATCTGTTAGCAGATTGGTTTTGTTAGCAGAGTAGTTCTGTTAGCAGATTGGTTTTGTTAGCAGAGTAGTTCTGTTAGCAGATTGGTTTTGTTAGCAGTGATGTTCTGTTAGCAGTATGGTCCTGTTAGCAGAGTGGTTCTGTTAGCAGTGAGGTTCTGTTAGTTGTATGGCCCTGTTAGCAGAGTGGTTCTGTTAGCAGAGTGGTTCTGTTAGCAGCATGGTCCTGTTAGCAGCGTAGTCCTGTTAGTAGCATGATACTGTTAGCAGTCTGGTTCTATTAGCATCACAGTCCTGTTAACAGTGTGGTTCTGTTAGCAGTGAGGTTCTCTTAGCAGCACGGTCCTGTTAGCAAAGTGGTCCTGTTAGCAGAGTGCCTATGCTATGTTATCTAAACATTAGCTGGTCTGGCAAGACAACGACTGAAGAAGGCCATCAGATCTGCAAAGTAGGGGTTTGGAGCTAAGATTGAGACAGCCTCATTCTCCAGAGACTCCAAAGAGGTTTTGGAGGACTTTTTTTTAAAATTTACCCTTTATTTATCCAGGTTAGTCTCATTGAGCCACGAGAACTCATTTTCAAGAGAGACCTGTTTAGGGAGCACATGGTGGGGGTTAAGGGCCTTGCTCATGGGCGAATGAGGGTGGGGGCAAGTGTGGGTGTTTCACCTACCCCACCCACAATTTTGATGTTGTCGGGGCCGGGGCGTGAACCGGCGAGGCGATCTTCGGATCACAGGCCCACCTCTCTAACCTCTGCGCCACCACTCCCCCAACACCTTTGACTTGCAACACCTTTATCAACAAACGTATGCAGACCTCCACCATCTCTTCCTCTAACCTTGCTGATGAGCTTAATCAGTTCTTTAACAGCTTTGATACGCCTAACAACACATTGTTCTATTTGGATCCTGATCCTCTCTACTCCCCTCCACCACCTCTATCCTTCACATCCATATACATGACACAGATCCAAGATCATGGTCAGATACTGCTGGTAGCAGTTCAAACTCCTCTTCTGCACCTCTCATCTCCTCCTTCCACTCATGGGCCCCCCGGCCCCCAGTGACCCTTTCATTTTCTTTATTTAACCAGATTTAAACCCCCCACTGAGATCAAGATCTCAGTTCCAACAGGGACCTGGGTAATGATGTATCATTTCAAGCTGTTGAGAAGATATTTTGCAAACTAAATATACAGAAGGCTGCTGGTCCAGAAGGAGTATCTTCAGCTGTTTTGAAGTTTGGATGGGCACAGTTAGCTCCTGCGTTCTTCTGGATATATAAAAAGTCCATCTGACAGCATTATGCCCCCCATTGCTGGACAAGAGCTATCATTAGCCCAGTGCTAAAGAAGGTTTAAGTCACATATCTGAATGACAATTGTCCTATAGCCCTCACTTCAGTAACCATGACGTGTTTTGAAAAACTGATTTTGCCCTTCCTCAGAAGCACTGCTGTCCACCGTCTGGCCCCTTTACAGTTCACTTACAGGTCAAGCTGCTCTGTGAATGATGTTCAGCACTTTGTTTCAGCTGTGGCTGTGTTAAAGCGCTTTATAAATAAAGTTGATGATGATGCTGTGAATCTCAGCCTTCACCATCTTCTGGAGCACCTGGACAGGAAGAACCGCAGTGCTTGAATCTCTTTTTTAGACTTTCATTTACCCTTTATTTATACAGGTAGACTTAGTTTTACCTTCAATACAAACATCCCGCTTCAGATACAGATGTTTGCAACTACAGGTCAACTTCAACAACTTCAGCAGCTACAGATCCTTTTGGCCATCTGCAAACTGATTACAGACACCAACAGGTCTCAAAAGGTCATGTGTGGTACTCATCTGTCTACCCATATCACCACCAACACGGGGGCTCAACAGGGAGGTTTATTCTCTTTGTATCTGCTTGCTCTGTAATTAATTATCTTCATTCTATTGACCTTTCTGCAAAGCTTGTAAAATATGCTGATGACATCCTGAACCTGGGCCTTATCACCAATGATGATGAGATGACTGACAGAAATTGCATTTCAGAGCTAACCGTGTGGTGTACAGAAAGTCAGGCAGCTGTGGCTGAGTGGTTAGAGTAGTCATCCTCCAATGCAAGAGTTG